CAGCCATAAAAGTCACGATAGACACTAAAGTCGAGGAGTTAGCCTGTGAGCGGGATAGCAGAGTGTGAGAGAGGGAGGGATGGTGGGAAGCAGGGTGGCAGGCAGGGAGGTAGAGAAACCACACCCGGCACATTGGTGCCAGGGCAGCTATTTACAATATGCGATACCCAATATTTATCTAGGCACATATGCATGCATTTCTGTGTGTGTGTGTGTTTGTGTGTTTGTGCGTGCCCTTGAGCACTTGTAAAGCTACGGTAATAAAATGTAAAATGGCGTTATATGGTTTGTGCACTGAGCGAAAAATCATTAGCCACTAATTTCTACATAAATCTAAATAATAATAACTGAAGTTAAATATTTGTGTTAACTTTTCAATTATGTTGGCCAATTTCTTTTTAATTTGAAACCAGTGTGCAATGTGGCAACGTCATTCATTGCCTGTCCTCTTTCATCGCATACAGCACCTGCATATGTATGTGTGTGTATACGTGTGCATATGCATACATATACAATGCAAATGCAACGCTCGGTTGCGCGCGCGCGTGCGCCTCGAGCAGCAGAAGCAGCCACTTGGAAGTCGGTGGCATGTCTTAAAAACGAAGACGTGGGCCACTAATATTAATGTCTGCCGGCCGTGCTGATGTCTGTATCTGTGCATCACTAAGTGTAACCATTCTCCCTCTCACTCTCTCGCTCATACTCTATCTTTCACTGCGCCTCCCAGTATGTGTGTCTGTGTGTGTGTGTGTGTGTGTGTGTGTGTGTGCGTATTTTTAGAACGTCTGAAGCCGAGATTTGGAGCAATTCTTTTGTTGTTGTGCTTGCTGCTGCGCGACTTCCACAGCGCGGCGTCTGCTGCTTGTATAGTAAAAATATACCGTACGCTTGCAGCAGACATAAATATTTGTGCGCTGTTGTTGTTGATGGCCAACGTATTATAAGAAATTACGACACATGCTGACGCCGATTTCGTTTAAATTGTTTTCGGTGTATGCAGATTAGAGTCGAGCAGTGTCCGTTGGCTATTCTAATGGCGCAGTGGCAACGCCAGAAGAGCAGCCTTGCCACCCCGCCCACTCTTCCTCTCACCTAAGTTTGTTGTTTTGTTATTGCATACATAATTGCGCAAAGCTTAAAGCAACAGCTGCAGTCTATGCATGTGTGTGTGTGTGTGTGTGTGTATGTGTGCTTGTATTTATCTGCATTTCTGTTTCAGTCCGTTGGCTGATGAGCTCGTATTGTTTGAATTTGCTGTGCGTTTATCAATTTACCGTTATCATTAACAAGATACACACGCAAAGAGATGAGCGATAGAAAGAGATAGATAGAGAGAGAGAGAGAGAGAGAGAACGGGGCAGGGCCACAAATAGCGCGACACACGCAAAATGTTGACTGGTGAAAGGTGTGCGATGCGATAAAATTTCATCATATTTTACATTTTCCTAATTTGCTAAAAGCAAACGTATATGTGTGCGTGTGAGTATGTGTGATGTGATGTGATGTGCATATCTACAATCAATTTGTGTGCGCGAGTACAATTTCATTTAATTAGATTGCGTTTAATAATGCCACATGACGAACACACTCAGAGAGACACAAACTAGGCAAATAAAAAAATACAAATACAAATACAACTAGATACAAGAGTCAATAGTGTAATTTAATTGATTTGCGAGCAGCGCAGCGGCAGCAGCAGCAGCAGTAAATATCAAAATAAGAAGAAGCAGCGGTAAACTGGCCTCATGCCACTCAATTTGATTGAGTTTGACTGTATTGGAGTCTGTTTATGTCTCTGTGTGCGTGTGTGTAAATGAGCCAGTCGCTCAGTCGCTTGTGAGCTACTTAGCCAGCCGAGCCGTTGCAGCTGTGAGCTTTTTACTGCTCCCGTTCTTGTTCTTGTTCTTCAGCGATTGCTGCTGCTGCTGTCTAGTTATGTTCCGCTTGGCCATTGTTGCCACACCATTTGCAGTAATTGGCGCTGCCAGCTCTTCTTTAGCTAACTAAATGCAACGGTGTTTAACTGTTTGCCGCTGCTGCCTTTCTTTCTTGGGTTTGCTTGCATTTGTTCTTTTTTTTCCATTCCAATGTACATCTGTATATATGTATGTATATGCGTGTGTGTGTGTATTTATATATGTATGCGCATCGCAGCCAGCTGGAGGCTTCGAAAACAAATCGGCATGCATAATTAATTATGATTTACTTGGCTTTTCACATAAAAGTATGTGTATGTGTGTATGTGCATATACCTATGCCTATACATGTATATATACATATATATATTTGTGTGTTGCAATTGGTTTTTAAAGCGCCGTAATTAATTTTCCAATGAATTGCAATTGCATTTAAAGCGGCAAAAATGTGCAAAACGATTGCAAGAACGGCGCTTATTGAATTTCACTTAACATGGAAAAGGGAAATACATATTGCTGCTGCTGCTGCTGCTGGCGCTGCCTCTGCCTCTTTCACCGCTGCTGCTGCTGCTGCTGCTGTTAAAGCTGACTTTACAAGAAACCAGCGAGCATTGACTTTTCGTCCGAGCGAGATAGCTATATTGAATAAGAGCAATACACACACACACACTCACACATAAACACACGCTGTGAACTTTAATACTTTTGGCGATGCCAGATTAGCGCAAAAAGCCATTAGGTGTGCCACAGGGGGGAGGAGAGGATTTGTGTGTGTGTGTGTGTGCGTGTGTGCAGAGTTTTCACTTCTATTTTGCGTTTTATTTGATGTTAATCTGCCATCCGATTTGCCTCTGGTTAACATTTGCCTTTAGTTTATTTCATTTGGCTGCAAAAAGCCAACGCCCCAACGTCAAATGGCTTTGAGTCAAAATGAAAATCTCTCCCAAATGGTCAGCGCCATAAGCCAACGCCTAGAAATGACAACAACAACAACAACAACATATGAAGGAGCCATCACCATGGGCGCCGTCGTCTCCTTTGCACGTCCATCACGCAGTTCGCTTGTTGTTTATGTAGCTACGTGCCGCTGCCAGCCACAATCGCCCATCAGTTCAGGCTTGGCTCATTTCCCTTCTTGAGAACATACATGCATACATATGTAGCTGTATGTATGTGTATTTGTATGCATGCAAAACATTAAAAAGTAACAAAAAACGAAGCTAAGTGAAGCACATTTCAGCTGCACACCTACCAAGTCGTTGCCGCCTGTCCATCAACAGCACTTTTGAGTGCTGTTCCTGCAGCTGGCTGGCTGGCAGGCCGGCCGCCCCCACATATGCGCTATACATTTTTGACTACCCTGCACATATGTACATGTGATCATAAAGGGCATATTACAATTGAAGAGATTTGTGTAACAAGCAGAGCAAATCAATAATATGTGATTATATTAAAGTTATATATAAAATCTGTAAAAGAATCTGAAAATCTAAATCTGAATCTGTAAAATAAACAATCTATTGAAAAGCTAACGAATAACTGATTCTTAAAGAACAACATTACTGTTTAGAGCAGCAGAAGAGAAGGAGAGTTAGGAATTGGTTTATAGAAAGAACTAATCAAGTATCAGAGAAGAGTTCCATTGGATCACCCTACTGGATCTCTCCTTAAGATCTAATTTCTGTTATAGGGTATCTGCTATTCGTACAATATCTACTGTACCTTTATTTGTTATCTTTAGCCTGCCTGGCTGTTCCTGTGCGTTTTGTGGCTTTTATGCGGTTGAGTCATACGCCTGGCTCTGATTAGCTGGCACGCGTCACGCTAATGAGCTGCCCAAATACTTATGATCCACTCTCACACGCATGCACACTCACACGCAGTCCCACGCTCACGGACACACCTACATATGTATAAAAGTCGGCTAATTGGCTTACATGTGTAACTGTTAAATAGAGCCACTTCTCAAATGCTTAACGTCCAGCTTAGACAGATCTGGCAATAAATTATCGCATTACTCCGCCGATGCTTCGATTACACTTACAAGCCGCGTATCGATAGGTAATTAAAGACGCCGCCAGCGCCGTTTGTCGCGCTGCCATCGCTAGCTGTTTGACATTTTGACAGCTGATTTGCCGGCGCTTGAATTTGAATTTCGATTTAAATTTGAATTTAGCCATTGCTCTGCCTGCATGTTAATCATGCGACATGTGTTGCTGTCCATGCAAAGCAGCAAATAAACTCGCAGTCGAACGACTACAAAAATACCCTACAAACAGGAATGCTGAAATGAAATAATATACACATACTTATACATATGCTGATAGATCGAAATGTTCGACTTGTCATTGACTCTGCACAGCTGCTGCAATAATCCCGTTTTACAGCCATTGACTGTGCATGCTGGGTATGAATGAAAGATGCATTGCCTTATCTACGTTTCCTGTTCAGCGTGGCGACATTGAAATGAATGTCAGACCAATATCAATGGACGCGTCTGTCTTCTGCAGTTGTCGCCAGTTGCAGCTCGCCTGTTGAATGTTGTGTTGAATGTTCAGCATGCACTGTACACATGGCTGGCAAGCTGTCTGGCCCAGGCAGGCGATCTGTTTGCTTCGCTGACATGCACATAAATTTAGCCAGCAGGCTGCACACACACATTCGAATGCAGGCATGCAAATCTACATATATACACATGTACCATCAGAGTTGCAAACTAAGTTATCGATACTTCGATTTTATGCTTTAAATGAACTTCCTGTCTGCTGCCAGCTTTGGCTCGTGTGCTAAATGCGTTGCGGATTGAGTGAATCAACTAGTTTAATGCACATTTACATACAGACAAACGTACACATATATAGATGTATGGCAACTCTGATGAAATTTGAATTATGTTCCATTTCGAATTCTTACGATGCTTTGACATATACGTATACGATTTTGACATCTTTACATACATATACAAAGTCTCATCAGTAAATTTTTCACTCAAATACACACATACTTATTTCAATAAATATATATGTGCATTCATAAATTGTTTTTCCACACATTCATATATACTACACAAGCAGACAAGCAAAAAGCAAACTACGAAGAAGAGAGCTCCACTTGGCACCGTCGACTTGGCACACACAGTCCGTTATACCCAATAGCAACCCAGCGAGAGCAGCAGCAAATTCGTACAGCGATTACTCATATCTGTTCGGGTTCCAACTAGTTTGTGAAACAGCCGCCATCATTGCTCCCATAAGCACCATGAACGGCCAGAGCTGTGAGCTGGGCCACAGCAATGGGGACATCATCTCACAGAACCAACAGAAGGGCTGGTGGACCATCGGTCTGATCAATGGACAGCACAAGTACATGACTGCCGAGACATTTGGCTTCAAGCTGAATGCCAACGGGGCCAGCCTCAAGAAGAAGCAGCTCTGGACCCTGGAGCCATCGAACACCGGTGAAAGTGAGTAGATGACCAATATTTCTAGATAAATGTAGTGTAAGCATATGAAATGAAGACTATACATATAGGAACGGTCGATTGGTATGGTATTCTATAGAAATACATATATGAAAGGTGTGATATAATACCAGACTCAAGTTATTAGAAGAATCGAAGCTAAGCTATAGGGAAAGTAGATGACCGCAGATAAAATGTATACGAATCGTGAATCGAAGTTATATATGTACCTAGATGTATGTATGTATGCCTAGATAGTAGTTAATAACGTGAAAGTGATTTTGTCCGTATGTGGATATTCTTATATATTGATCTCTATTATATAGATTATCCCATACATACTTGGGCTCTCTCATATAGATAATATATTAAGTAAATTACGAAATTTATGTTCAACTAAAATCTATAATATCCATAAAAAGATATGCAGTATTATCTTCTGAGGAAAAATCAAAGATTGAAGGTTGCTTTAATTTTCGAATATTTGCAACAAATATCATTATAAAAGCTGACAGAGATGAGAAAATTATTATGAAGAGCATTATGGGTAGATATCCATTGAAAAAAGGATTTCCAAGCAATTGAAGGTAGATAATATTATATAATATATTTATATAATAATATAAAAAGTATTCCACCATAATGAAGAACAACACAAATACGCTCTACCGATTACGCGCAGTGTATATTGCTTCATATCTATATTCCTAATTAATATCAAATAGAAGAGCCAAGTTTCTATCAACTATTAATACGGCTATCTGCCCCAGTTAGTCAGTTGAACAAGCTCTTGTTCATGATATATTTCTATATATATCTCAACATTCCAAAAAAAGAATAACTCATAAATATAACAGTAATTGGTGTGTGTGGTTCCGATTTCATCATTGTTCGTCACAGCGTGCTTTCACTGTGCTGGAGCATGGTGCGCGCTTATCAACAAACTCCACTGATAAGCGGGCTCAATTAATCTAAACAAACAGAAAATATGCAAATGGAAATGAAAATGAAAAAAAATGAATAGGGAAATGAAGTTTTGATAATGACGAATGATAAAGTTTAATGATAATGATAGTGATAATGCTAATGTTAAAGAGCATTGGCTGCATTTAATTGCGGGCAATAAATCATCATCAGCTGGCTCATAAAAATGGGAGGGAGGGAGAGAGAAAAGAAACGAGATAATCAGCTGCGGCTTTGGTTCATATATATATATGAATATATTTGTATATAAATATATATAGGTATATATTGGTCAGATATATGTATGTTTGTATATGCATATACTGCACAACATAAATCATCGTTACAATTTGCAGCTGGGCAAATAGATTCGCAGGTAAAACAAAGCGTTTTACGAATTTGGCATCATTTATCAAGAGACGCCACATGTTGCATGCCACAGCGCTGCATTTGCAACGGCACTGCAATTGGCTTTGGTCAGGCCAAGCCAAGCCGAGCCAGGCCAGGCCAGGCCAGGCCAGGTCTGGCTAAGCTGGTCTCTGGTCTGTGGTCTGTGGTCTCTTTAGTCTCTGCTCCGTTGGCTCGCTTGGCAATTATAATTAAAGCAACTCGTTTGCGCTTAATGCTGTTGTTGTTGTTGTTCTTGTTGTTGCATTGGCAATTAATATAAAATATTTAGTCGAAAGCCGAGCTCTGGCATTCGTAACGGCCATTAAAATAGCTCAGCCAAATTGAAATCGACGTTTAAAAACGAAACAATAATGTTGTGAGCTAAATTGCTTAATAATATCATAATACAAACAATATAAAAAATTAAAAAAAAAAAAAAAAGAAATTCAATAAAATTAAAGTCAGACAAATTGACAAATACCCTGTAATGTGATAGAAGAAGGTGAAAACTGGCCTAATTAAAGCCAAATATGTATTCAGCCCTGCGATATGCTTTAAAAATCCGGAAGCCATGTCAATATCTATCGATAGAAAAAGGATATGAACCGAAAAAGAAACTACATAAAGAATGAATGAAAATTACTTAAATATTTATGACTGAGTTTAAGATGATTTACAATTTAGAATTATTAAAAACTAGAATTTTAAATTCATTAAACATATATGTGATACATAAGTAAAGCTTAACAACTCCCAGCAGTCTCATACATATATAAACGCATATACACTTGCTTGCGCGTCAACTTTAATTGGTATTAAAAGCAGCGAGCGCTTTGTGTCTAAGCCGCCTATCGATAACTAATTAAGCATCTTCGCCTGCTGCTGACCATTTACTCTCTCTGTGTGTGTGTGTGTGTGTGTGCGTGTGCGAGGTGCCATCGCTAATTTGCCATTGACAGCTGACTGTAGTTGTTGTTGTTGCTGGCATTCCCGTTACGCGTACAGCAATTGCAAATAGCACACACAAGTCATGCAAGAGTGAATGAGAAGGAGAGAGCGAGAGCAAAGCGTAAAGTGAGAGCGTAGCGTTAATTGGCTGTAGTTTTACTCTAAGACATCGAGKATATGCACTATGGCAAACATCATGTTTA